TCATCAAATTGGTGTCGTGTATCTGTGGTGACCTAAGTGGGAAGCAAATCCATAAGATATATGTATATGTGTAGGTGACCCACTGATGGATAGCAGAAACTGGTACAACATAGTTATTGTTGTTTAGTTGCTGAGTCGTATGTGACTCTTCTGTGACCCCATGGACTGTAACCCACCAGGCTCCTGTGTCCATGGGATTTCCAGGGCAAGAACACTGGAGTGGGTTGCCATTTCCTTCTCCAGCACAACACTGTAAAACAGCTATAATCCAATAAAATAAGGAATTGCATTGAGTGGACCTTGAAAATCTTTCTTTAATTTGTTTTCTATTTCTTCTACTCTCTCTCAAAGCCACCATCTGTTTTTTAAAATGTAGGTTTTATTATTATTCAGTTGTGATGAGACTAGCATATCCGGAGAGAGATTGTTGTACACACAGATCCGAGAAGGATAGGGGTGAGAGAGGGAGGACCCATGGGGGGAAACACCAGGGTCAGTCAGGAGGCAGATGATGAGAGAGGGAAATGTGGGCAAGAGCCTTTACTGTGGTTTCTGTGGGAAGGAATGGGTCAACTGAGTAAACGGTTTTATTATTATTCAGTTGCTAAGTCGTGTCCGACTCTTTGTGACCCCATGGACTGCAGTACACCAAACTTTCCTGTCTTTCATCATCTCCCAGAGTTTGCTCAGGCTCATGTCCTTTGAGTTGGTGATGGCCTTCCAACCATCTCATCCTCTGTCGTCTCCTTCTTCTCCTGCCCTCAATATTTCCCAGCATCAGGGTGTTTTCCAGTGAGTCAGCTCTTCACATTGGGTGGCTAAAGTTTTGGAGCTTCAGCTTCAGCATCAGTGTTTCCAATGAATATTCAGGGTTGGTTTTCTTTAGGATTGACTGGTTTGATCTCCTTGCTGTCCAAGGGACTCTCAAGAGTCTTCTCCAGCTCCACAGTTCAAAAGCATCTGTTCTTCGGCGCTCATTCTTATTTATGGTCCAACTATCATATCCATACATGACTACTGGAAAAACCATAGCTTTGACTATATGGATCTTTGTTAGCAAAGTGGCGTCTCTGCTTTTTAATATGCATCTAGGTTTGTCATAGCTTTTCTTGCAAAGATCAAGTGTTTTTTAATTTCACGGCTGCAGTCACTGTCTGTAGTGATTTTGGAGCCCAAGGAAATAGAGTCTGTCTCTGTTTCCAGTTTTTCTCCATCTGTTTGTCGTGAAGTGATGGGACCAGATGCCATGATCTTAGTTTTTTGAGTGTTGAGTTTTAAGCCAGCTTTTTCACTCTCTTCTTTGGCCTTCATCAACAGGCTCTTTAGTTCCTCTTCTCTTTCTGCCGTTAGAGTCATATCATCTGCATGACTGAGGTTGTTGATATTTCTCCTGGCAGTCTTGATTCCAGGTTATGACTCATACAGCCTGGCATTTCCCGTGATGTACTCTGCATATAAGTTAAATAAGCAGGGTGACAATATACAATCTTGACGTACTCCTTTCCCAATTTTGAGCTAGTCTGTTGTTCCATGTCTGGTTCTAACTTTTGCTTCTTGTCCTGCGCACAGGTTTCTCAGGAGGTGGGTAAGGTGATCTGGTTGTGATCCACACAATCAAAGGCTTTAATATAGTCAATGAAGCAGAAATAGATACTTTTCTGGAATCCTCTTGCTTTTTCTAAGATCCATAGGATGTCAGCAATTTGCTCTCTGGTTCCTCTGCGTTTTGTAAATCCATCTTGTGCATCCAGAAGTTCTTGGTTCACATAGTGTTGAAGCCTAGCTTGAAGGGTTTTGAGCATAATCTTGCTAGCATGTGAATGCTAGCTTTGTTGTTAAAAGCTCACCCATGTCTACTTTCAAAGTTTTTCATATATTCCAGTGCTTCCCAAGACAGGGGCTACCATGGAAAGTGTGTGAAAGTCACTCAGTCATGTCTGACTCTTTGCAAGCCCATGAACTATACAGTCCATGGAATTCTCCAGACCAGAATACTGGAGTGGGTAGACATTCCCTTCTCTAGGGGATCTTCCCAATCCAGGGATTGAACCCAGGTCTCTTGAGTTGCAGGCAGATTCTTTACCAGCTGAGCTACCAGGGAAGCCCTCATTTTACTTAAAAGTGAGCAGTTATGGAGGATCAAGGGCTCAGACTCTCCTCTAGCAGCTTCCTTTGCACTATTCCATTCTTGCATATGAACTGGAAACAATTTTACTAGCAGAAATAATGAATGCAAAATAAAGTCTCATCCAGTTTGTCTCATAGCAGTCCTTTTCTTACCACAATTAGTAATCATATTTATTTGTTGGTTTGCTTCTGGATACCTGAGTATCCCAGGCTACTTTGTGCCATAGGAGAGGCAGAATTGTGTCTGGTTTATTAGACCAATGCTTGGCTTGAGTTGAAGGTCAGTGAATGAATGTTGAGATAAATGATAGAAACTGTATTTGAGCATGTGTCCTTAAGGTGGCTGTTTCTATCTGCTTAAATATTTTTTCTGGGTTAAGATTATTGAGGCCAATTTTAAGTGACACAGAATTGTTGGACTTTGGTCCATCTAATTGACTGTGTATTAGAATGGGCCACTTGAAGAGAATTTTGCCTTTCCCCAAAGGTGTTGCCTTGACTCATCCCTCAAGAGATGGAATTGCCCTTTTAGGTTTCTGCCCAGTTTAGAATCTCTGATTTTTGTAGGAGCTGTCAGTCCTACCCTTAGAGTTGCTGATTTCTTAGTGTAGATTGCAAGATAAAATATATATTTTCTGTGTGCTTTTCAGTGGACATAATCTTGAATGCATTGCTAATTTAACACTTTTCAAGATTTTGATTAAGAAAATTAATATTTAAAGAAGTTCTCTGAAGGATACACCATCTATCTTCTGGAGTGAAGCCTGACTGTGGGTGTATATCAAAGTCAGCTGTAGAGGTTTTAATAGCCGTATTTAGTTAGAAGCTCTAAGGTGTGGGACCTGGGTCACAGGTGATTCTGATGTAAAGCCAGGTATAAGAGCAATACATCCTATGGACGTTTTTACACAGGCAGTCATACCCCAAGGAAGCGTATGTCAAGAATGCTCTTTTATGTTTCCCATCAGTTACAGTTCTGGTTCTGTAGTTTAGATTCATTTATAAAGAAGTAATTTTAAATGTTTTAGTGAACATTTATGAACTCTTGGTAGTACTTTCCAGTTCCTCCACCTAGCAAAGTTGAGTGTTGTCTGCAACTTTAAGCTGTGAGATGGGGAGTAGTGAGAGATGTGGGTAGAGAGGTAGACTTTGAAAGGTCATATATGTGATGTGAGGCTGTTCTTTTTCCCTTTGGTAATGGAGAATCATTGGAGGTTTTTTAAAATCAGGAAGGCAACATGATTAGCTTTTATTTTGTTGTGAAGGAAAGTTACCTGTCAACTATATGGAACATAGATTAGAATGGGGGAGAAAACTATGACAAGGAGACCAAAGCAAGTTTGTGCAAGAGGGAATGAGGAGCAGTAGGGATAAAATGGGACTGAATTCTAGTCCTGTTTCAGTTTAAACTCCAACCAATCAGTTCTACCCTTGACTTCAAGACAGCTAAAATTGCAAAGACTTTACTGAGAAGCCTTTCCCTGACCAAATTCTCTTAATCTGTTCTTTTGGTAGTTTTTTTAATGTCGTAGTTTATAGTACTTTACATTCTCTATTGTTCTGTTTTGCTTATTTGATTCCTGTGTCTTATTTATCTTACACTGATGCCACTTTTCATGATGGCTGCTTCTCTATAGAAATAGCTGTTGAACACGTTGTCTCTTAAACATGTCATTCTTGGTTTTTTCCCCCTTCTGATTTGTGCCTTTGCTCACGGTCTTTCTCTTTTCCAAATGTTCTTATCTCTCTTATACACCCATATCTTGAAGTTTTAACGTTTTTTTTCCCCTCCCATAATTCAAATCCCACCATTTCTATGAAGTCCTCTAGCATGATTCTGCCATGGTCACTTCCACCTTTGGGCTCTATAGTAGCTAAGCTGTGTACTCCTTTATGCTTCCTTATATTCCACTCCAGTACTCTTGCCTGGAGAATCCCATGGATGGAGGAGCCTGGTAGGCTGCAGTCCATGGGGTCGCTAAGAGTCGGACACGACTGAGCGACTTCACTTTCACTTTTCACTTTCATGCATTGGAGAAGGAAATGGCAACCCACTCCAGTATTCTTGCCTGGAGAATCCCAGGGACAGAGGAGCCTGGTGGGCTGCCGTCTATGGGGTCGCACAGAGTCGGACCCGACTGACATGACTAGCAGCAGCAGCATATTTTTTCGTCTTTTTATTTAGTCTGTGAATGTTGATATTCTGCCTTTTTGTGTTGGACAGGATATTTTACACATCACTGTACATAGCATATCGTTAATAATGTGATGGTCATTTGCCGCATTCTAAGTCTTCCTAAAAGCAACTTGGCTAGAAACATAGTTTGTTCTACTCTAAAAAACCTGAGACCTCAGCTCAGAAATATTTTAAGTTGTCAGTAACTTTAATTATCTGAATTTGAAGCCAAAAATATATAATTATTTTTCTCTAGGATTTTAAAGGTCAAAATAAAAGAGAATTTAAAAAATTGGGGGCCTTATTGAAATATAAAGTTGAGTGTTAATATCTGACTGGATACAAAATCCTTTAAAGACTTACGTTTAAAATCCTTTAATTAAAGTAAAATATTTTCATTTGTTCCTTAATGTTAAATAGTATGTTCTTTGCCAAAACAAAGCTTTATTTTCTTGGGAATCACTCGGAACATTTGGACCTCCTTTGGTTTCTAATCCTGTTAAATTTCATCCATGAATTAAAGCCTAATTATACGTAGTTGGTGTACCCTACATAGAGACAATTCCATGTATAATAGTTTACTCATTAAGTTTACTTATTGGAACATTATGAAATGCTGAAAATACTTTGCATTGGATTAAGAAATAATTTTCTTTGAGAATTAACTGAATTTAATTGTCTATATATTTTTCTTTAGCCCATATGTTGTAAAGTACTATGGCAGTTACTTTAAGAACACAGACCTCTGGATTGTCATGGAGTACTGTGGAGCTGGCTCTGTCTCAGACATAATTAGATTACGAAACAAGACAGTAAGTATTTTAAAATTGTTTTGCCAATCTCATTTCTAAAGATTCATATTTTAGAAGCTGACTATATAGTGTTTTGTTACAAGGAAAATATTAGTGTGAAAAAAGAAAAGGCTTTACAGTGTAAAAGAATCTAGTATGAGGTGTGAGAATTAGTCACAGATCTTTGTGTGGCAAATAGAGGAGTCATATGATTGTTTTAATTTATTTATTAGGATAATTTTTGGTTTAGTCACCGAGAAACCACCATGGCACTCCTCTTTTTCATCTGGAATCATTGTTGCATGTTCTTTATTAACTTGAGTTCAGTAAGTTATGGCTGGAATTTTATTTCATAATATTTATGGTATTTCTTTATCATAAGTTTTTTTTGCATTATAACCTATGGTTGGTAAACAGTTGAAGTATTATGTTTCTGAATCTTAAAGATAACTGAAGAACAATTTTTGTCTTATTTCCCCAAATATCTCAGGATGTTTGAAATGAATAGAGCTCAATTATAATTTTTTTTTCTGGTAAATTCAGCTTAGTGAGAATGTGTTATCTAATGATAAATTTTATGGCTATGTTTTAACCCTAAGTAAAAGAGCTATTTACAAAATTGTTTACTTTAGCCTAGCAATGCACCTAGTTAACTCGGATAATTTACAAGACCAAAATGACCTTTTTAAAATCTGTGAATGACTAAGAATAATAAATCAGTGAAATAATTTGTAATTCTGTAAAACAATATCCCAGTTACTACATGTCATTATTCCATGTTGTCAGACATGTTTCAGTAAAATACATTTGGAAAAATACTTAACTACTTGAGTCAATTTGTGGTTAACCAGAATCATTTTAAAGTTTGATTGGGGAAGTACACTGTAAGTTTATCCTACTAATTTTTTTTTTCTGTTAGAGAAAATAAAGTAAATAGGATTTCTTTTAAAGGAAGTGAAACAGAAGTTAAAATAAGCCCTGTTTTGACAGAATGGATTAAGTGACTTGTGACATTTTAATTACATATTTTAGAATTTCTATGGTGCTTAACTAACATTTATGTAAATCAGATGACTCCTGAGTGGCAGGACAGTGCTTTAATTGAAAATAATTATACTCCAGTTAGAGAAGTGTTTTAAAACCATTTCAGGGCTAAACTCAGTGCATTTGGTATTTAAAGTTATCAAGTAGAAATACGGAGTAATACTGTATGTAGTGGAAAATCTATTTTATTTATTTTAAATGTTAATGTTACCATTTTGAGTACATAGGAAGAATACAATCTTCTATGTATTCTAAGTATACAAAAATACTTTATTTCTTGTGGTTAATAAATAAAAACCATGAAAGTATACTATAGTTCTAAAAGGTAGATTTGGATGAGATAATTATTCTCAGGTATGTCCTTCACCAATTATCAAAGGAAGGATTTTACCCTATTTGCGCTTTTTTTTAGAAGGCAGATTCCACCTATCATGTTTGGAGATCATACATTTGAAATAGTCTAATTATTATTCTCACAAGTTGGTTTTTCTTGGGCCTGGGGAGGTATGGAAGGATCTGATTCCCAAATACAAAAAAGAATCCAGAACTGCATGAGATGGCTCAGGTGCTGTACATATATTTTTTCTGGGAATTGCCTTGATAGCAGCTCCTGTTAAATCTCAAAAATATTCTATACTACTTATGCTACTTTTCCTTCATTTATGTATTATTTAAAAAGAGTACCATTGTTATGAAGGTTGGCAGTATAGGGGGATAGTTATCATCCTATTTAATATTTGATTATTTTTTAGGAATGTTCACTGGAATGATAATCTTGATTGTTTGAATTTTAGAGGCATGACTTTCAAAAAAGGTGACCAGTGGAACAGTTGTCCTTGACCTGTTAACACTCACTCTAGTAGTTAATTGCTTTCATGGTCACAGAACAATCTGTCTTTTCCTAACAGTATGGAAATTTTTCTTTTAGGCTTTATATGCTGTTTTGGTTTTTGTTACGTGCTTTGTTGTTTCTTGTAATTCTGTGTACATTTTAAACAGCACAAGGCTGTTTAAATAATAATTCTTCTTATTATTTTTGATGGTGTTTATATTTATACTTTTTTTGCTCTTTATTCTTTTTTTGCATTTCTCAGTTGCCTGAACAGTGTTCTTTAGTGTTTCCTTATGATGATAATAAAATCGCCCTTGGTTTTTTTTTCTTGTATGAAAATGTTATCTCACTTTACTTTTGAATGATACATTTGCTAGGTAAAGAATTCTAGGTTTGCAATTTCTTTTACATTTTTAGTGTATTTTAAGAGGATTGACTCTTGGAAAACCACCTAAGTAACACCATTTTTGTAGAATTATTCTTGTCTTTGAGAGAAATCTTATTAGGGGTGAACTGTTCCTGATTTTCAGTTCTGTTGCTATCTTTTGTGTGTGTGTGTGTGTGTGTGTGTGTGTGTGTGTTGAAGTATAGCTGATTAACAATGTTGTGATAGTTTCAGGTGACCAGGTGAACAGGGACGGGATTCAGCCATTGTATCCCCCTAGCCCCCCTTCCCTCCAAGCTACCACATAACACTGAGCACACTTCTCTGTGCTACATAGTAGATCCTTGTTTATCCATTTTAAATATAGCAATATGTGCATGCCCATTCCAAACTCCCCAGCTGTCCCTTCCCCAGTCCTTCCCCCACCAGCAACCATAAACTTGCTCTCTAAGTCTGTGAGTCTGTTTCTGTTTTGCTAGTAAGTTCATTTGTATTTCTTTTTATATTCTACATATGAGAGATGTCATCGGTGCTGTTGGTTTTTTGATCAAATATTTATGTAAAAATTAAAGACAGAGAAAAAACCTGATTAAGTTACATACCTTTAAAAAATACATACCTTTAAAAAAAGTTAATAAGTTTTTAGCCTGAAGTATAAAACTGTTTATATATTACCTCCCTCCTATCTGTGCAGTTTCATAACTTGTCACGTCAGCTTCACAGTAAGAATGGGTTCCTAGAATAAAGGAATGGGTTCGTGTTTTAGTGTTTTGGTATATGCTTTTGCCTCATCTGCTCCCCCACCTTTGAGTGTTTTTCCTTACCCCTAGTCTTTGCCTAGTGAGTTTGCATACATGAAGGACTTGCTCAGTTATCACCTCTTCTTTGAAACTTTCCCTTTTTTCCCAGGTAGTTTTATCTATTTGGTAATTGGTTGATTAATGAATTAGCTAAGTATTTATTGCATATTCACTATTACATAAGAGCACAATAAATTATATCAGCCATTAATTTAGGATTTTTACTGTTATTATCTTATATATTTTGACTGCTGGATAGACTAAGCATCTTGTTGTTTCTGTATTGGCTCTTTTACTTATTTTTAGTGCTTATCCTTTGCATTTTATTATTATTGTCGATAGTGGTGTTTTTCTTACATTTGCAGGCTTGCTTGACAGTTTGCTAATAGTTTTATAAGTATTTCACATATCATTTTAAAAGTAAAAAAACCAGTTATCTGATTGTCAGCATAGATATTAAAGAAAGAATTTGAAAATTTTTTAGAAATTTAATTTCTAAAATCTATTTTAGAGGTTTTATGCCCTGACATTTTCTTTGGGAAATACCTAGGAAAAGATAAAAGCATAGAATTAAATTTGAGCGTTAATTAGAACTCTCAGTGATTGGAACTGAGCCTGAGTAGCAAGAGTTTTGGAATTGGATTGTTGGTAGTTGAGCCAATAACAAATGGTAGTTCAGGAAATGGTGGTAGTACTAGAGGGAGAATGAAGGTGAAACTTTCTTATATTTCAGTGGGTGATAAAAGTTTGAGTCTTCTAGTTGCATTTAGAGTAGAAATCACTATTTGTTTAGTATTTATTGAATCTTTTATTTTATAAGTTAATGGCCATATATAAGTTAATCTATAATAAGTATATGTGAGTTAAACTCCTGATTCTGTGATCAAACCCACAGCATACAACTCATGTCCTGGTATCATGTATCTTTAATAACTGACTTTAAAAAAAAATAATATTTAAAACTAGAATTTGGTGAAACCTATGTGTAGATAACATTGCTGTGGCTATCCTGTACTTGGAAGTCACATTTAATTATTAGTCAGCTTTTAGTCTTTAGGAGAAAAGTTTTAGCAGTTGCTTTCCCCTACCTCTCAAGGGCAGAAATTTTTATATGTTCATTTTGAAACTATTACAAGTGTCTAGAATAGCTACTGGCATCTAGCAATCTTGATAAATGTTTGTTGAACTGAAACAGGAACAGTTCCTTGACTGCTTCTTCTGTGAATATAAACAATCTAACTCATCTATTTAGTGTTGTATTTTTGCGGGTAAATTGTAATTTTCATAGCTACTACTATTCAATATTAATGATGTGGGTTATTGAACAGATATGATCATATACCAAAGAAAGTATATGTGCTTATCAGTAACCTATGAAAGTGTGAAATAACAGGATCTGTTGTATTAGTTCCCTGATTTTTATAGAAGTTATATTTATGTAAATTAAATTTTTTGCTTATTTTTGCAAATGTATATCCTGATAACTCAAACCATAGGCCTCATTTGGCTGATGAAAAAGAAATCTGCCTTATGTTGTTATTACTGGAAGTTAATGTAATCATTGCGGTTTTTTTTTTTTTGAGTGTTTTCAAGTTTGAAAAGAATAAAAAGTCCAGTAATTATGGGAATAAATACATAAAATATTTATGGCAAGAATTTTGAAGGTTTTCTTATGAGGACATTTTAAAAACAAATGTATTTTATGTTAAATGCATTTAGCCTCTGAACATTTATGCATTTCAAGTATTTATGCATTTATGCAAAGTAAAAATAGACAATTCTGTGAAATTGAAGCTTTTTAAAGATAGATTATATATTTGATTAGAGGCTTTCAAAATGATCTTTACATAATTGTTAAGCTATGCCTTGACATATGGAAGAAATAGAGTCTACGTCTTAGATGTTTGTTGTGTGTTTGGAAATGTTCTAAGAAAATGCCTAAGGTTGGTGTCTCCCACTC